GTCTTAAGGAGAAATAACAAAGATTCTCGCAAAGGAAAGCTCACCACAAACTGGGAAGGCCCCTATCGCGTCCAAGCAAAAAAGGAAGACAAGGCCTACTACTTAGAAAATTTACACGGGCAACAACACGCTCTACCATGGAACACCGAAAAGCTGAAACAATATTACAGCTAAGGCACAAAAGTAGTCGGCATGCTCTATCAAAATGATGAACACAACATTCTCGACCAGTATGTGTGCTCAGGTACAAGCATATCACCTAAAACCCAGACGAAAAGACAAGGTTCCACTCTTTTGAAGAGCAGATTCTTAGCCCGACAGGAAAACTTAAATGAGCTCTACCATCATCATACCACGATGGAAGAACACCCAACTTGCGATAAGAAGTTCACGCTGCAGAGCTCAGACCTCGAATAAGATCTGAGCTCCACCCCACACTCGAAAATCTACCCCGACCATTCGACCAGTTTCCCCTCACTGGCGAATATTAATACTACCGAGTAAACCCTTAAATACTTAACAAAAATAGATTATAAAACAACTCAAAGCATATGCGAAAAACTAAATGCTGAAATGAGCAAAAATAGAAGTAAAGACGAAATAAAATTTAAACAGCCACAAATACCGTGATTGTCAAAGAGGGCCAAACCTTAACCAAAATAAAGCTGACGACCATGAGGACTGAAATTGTCAGAATATTACATCATATGGGAAAAGCCCTTACAAATAGAAAACTTAAAAAACACGACACACAGGCTGGCTAGATACAAATATCAAAAACTTAATCAGTCGAGGGTGGTCGTCCTTCCTGGGTGGGCTGCTCGTCCCCTTCATCTTCTCTGCTAAGGTTGAGGAACTCGGGGACGACAATATGCCTATCGACCATGTTATAGAGGAACCCGGTCCCGACAATGTTAAAATCAACATCGGGGTTCGCGATCTTGAGCTGATCCACTGTGTTGTTGAAATTGTCCTCAATAATTACCACACGGTCTTCCTCGACCAGACGAGGAGAGCAACCAACTCGGCACTGGTTCTCAAATTTCTTAACTCCTCATTCTCATCCTCAGCCGGGGTTGCATCTTCTTCTAAAGAAGCGACCCTATCCTTGAGCTCCTTCTTGTCAAATTTCAACTCGGCCACCTCTTCAGCCTGTTCAGTCCATGTTGTTTTCTGTTTTTCCATCTCCTCTTTCTCAACTTCAACTTTTCTATTCTCTCCTCGAGAGCCACGTTGGTCACACTGACATCCTTCACTTCCTTGATAGCAGGGGTCCCCTTCTTAGTATGAATTATTTCCAGTTCCAAGATCCTCATTATAGCAGAGGTGTCCTGAGCAAGAGTCTTCCTCTTACTAGACTGATCCAAACCCTCTAAATATAGGGATTATGCCTACGGGACTTTCAAAGAGGGACCCCCCTCAAAGTAACTTCTTTGAAGACAACAGGGATCCAATTCGTACTTGTTTGTATTCTTCTCCACGACCAAGTCAACATTATCCTCTCCTACTCGATGATGTTTTCTGGCCGAAGTCACTTGTTTGGGTAAAGGTTGCTCGCCAACAAAAGTAGTGGAGGAGTTCCCCAACCCAGTCGGAGGCGGGACCGCGACGCCTGGATAAATTTTATGAAGTTGGTTTTTCTTTAACTGCCTCAATTTGTTGGATGTTTCCATCCTGACCATGTGCTCCTGAGCATTCGGAATTTCACCTGCAATAAACAACGAGCATAAATCAATAAAACAAGGAAGACAAACAAAAACAAGTGAACAACACAAATGGCTACCTAATAATTTTAGGCCATCCTCGTGAGTGGAACACTCGAGGAGCCCCTTTGTATTGATAAGCCAAGCCTCAAGCATAGGCTCCCCATCATCGTTAAGAATGATCTCCATGCACTTAGTTACACAATGGGCAGGGATAAGGTCGTCGACGAAAGCCACAGGTTTATTATAACTTGCCCAATCCTCCACTTCCAAGTGGTTCAGACGGACAATACTCCTCGGTATGCTGGTCGAAATGATCCCGACTCTAGGAGAAATGGAATCTCTGAATGGGATGTCTCCTCTGTCTACCGTTCTCGCCGAGGAGAGGGTTCCCTGCTTCGTCTGTCATAACCTCCCGACTGAACGAGGAAGCGATAGCCCTCTCCTACACAGACATGATTACATAGTACTTATCCTTGAACGTTAATATAAACTCCGAGTATGCCTTGAAAAGCTTCCTCGACTACTTCAAAGAAACCCAACCGAACATACTCTCCGAGGTCACCTACCGCTGAAGGTGAAAGCAAGCCAAGAAGAAGGGGACCATGGACCTGATCTTAAGATGCTCGTAAACAATCTCGAACGCCCGAGTAAAGGTTATCGAGTTGGGTGAAGCTGACAAGGCTCTAAGTCCAAGTGGGCAAAGATGGCCACCTGAAGATATGTGAAGGGCAATTGAAGCCCCATCTCCTTAAAAACGTATTCATACATAGGAAACTGATCAGTATCAAAGTCCAAGCAGATCTTCTCATCCTCCCAAGGGAACAAGACTTTCCACTCCTCCTCGGCCCCCGATGAAATTGTCTCCCCTCCCACGACTATAAACGCCTCCCCTGGGAAGGAAGCAAAGAGTGAAGCTATCCCCCGAGACTCTGGAGCATTCCATTCCTAGGGATCCGAAGTTATCAACTCCTCCTCGGAAGTCTTGCCCCGCTCGACCATATTCTCATCCTAGGAATTAGCAACCATTTTTACCTGAAAAGCAGAAGACAAAAGTGAATTCGAAGATCAAATCAAATCCACCCTTCCACCGCTAGTATAATGAAAGGGCGTATGAAGACACGAGAATGATGTCCTCAACCAAAGCCCTTACCAATCAGCTAGAAAAGACACGAAGAGATCCTCCTTGACTGGATTGGAGCCTCCCCAACAGGAAAATTCCTAAAACCCCACAAGGAGAATCTCCCCGGCACATTACCCATAAGTCCATTAGAAGATTCATCGAAAACTCCATACACTCATCGGAAAGTTCATATATTCATGAGAAAACTCATGAGCCCTCCAACAAACCCACGAGACCCGAAGATCACAAGCTCGTTCGCCGCTGTAACTACGGCCCCAGAACAGCCAAAAACACACATATTCCCAGCTCAACCTCATCCTCTCAACGACAACAACACCCAAAAATGACACAACCACCATCAAACACTAACAATCGTCAGAGCAACACTCACGCTAACTAAATCTATCCTAATTCGCATGTACTCTAGTAAAAAAACTAATCTAAATCTAGCTTAAAACAAAGAGAAATAGAAAGTTTACGTGGTCAGAGAGATTAAAATTGTTCCTAAGCAACTCTGTAACAGTGGTGAACAGTGGCAACGACAGGAAAAGTTGAACTGAGAGAGAAAACAAAAATGAAAACTGGAAACAAAATGCAAATGTTTTTCTGCATCTCCTATTTATAGAGGGCTCTCAATGCACGTGCCCGCGTACGCACAACCTAGGGCAGCGTAGGGGTCATATTTAAACCCTAGCCCATGGACTGCCATCATTACGCATTAATGGTAACGCGTGGCTCGATGCATATGTGATACGCACCCTCTTCAAATTCAATGAATTGTCCATCTCCCTGCTAGCCGAACACATAAGGCGACGATTAAGTTCCCCATATATACTCACCCTCGGGGAATCACTGGACATCCCCGTCTCCAGCGGCCGACACCAAACATGCACTTTCCTCCCCGACCGTGAGCTGAGTCTAAGTCATCACTCCTATGACCAGAAGTAACAACTTCGGGGGCTCTTGTTCTAGACTGGCCCAATGACTAGACATGGCCCAATCCACTTCTTCGTCTAAGACGACCCAATAGCTTTGGCCCATCAATTGGGACAATCAAAGGGTGTTTTTCCTTTTTTCCCCTCAGCTGGGGACGCATGGTCGTTTGAATTGGAAGTGCGGCTTGCTAGATTCGCTGATGACATAATTAAGATGTTGGAGCATTCAGAATCATCACATGTTTTCTAGGTTTTTATGTTATTAGTTATGTATTTTTTATGTTTTAAGCTATGAGCTATGTTATGTTTCAAGTTATGTTGATGTGCGAAAGAACTCGAACCAAACGAACAGTGGGCCTTGCGACCATCGTATGGTGTCCATATGACATCCTCAACTATCAAGGAATTCAGCCTCCTCGTGTACTCCAACAATCCTCCTGAATGCGACTGTCTAGACCTCTATCACCTTGCTCGTGGTGCATCCGCTGCGACACGCTGCTCCCTCCTATCAACGATGCGGGGGAAGTGCTCGTATATTCAACACTAATAACAGAAAACAAACACAACAATTAATAAACAAGAAATGTCTCAACTAAATGTCACAACTAACATTTAAATAACTACTATAAATAATGTGACCACATACCTGGAGTAGACTCAAATATCCAAAAATATGCTTTATCTCAAAGACAATCGCAACTCCTAACACCGTATATACAATGATCAACCCATATTACTTCTAACTCCAATTACCATGGTTAAGATCACGAAACAGCCAAACATAACGAGCATCAATATAATTATGAGACTTGTCCACAAGAACGGTACATGTTACTAGATGTAGCATGTATGCCATAGCGCAACCTCATGCATCTCTGCCAGCACAAATTCATCATACCTCTCCCAGAGCCAAGACAACTGCAAGTGAAGACCCCTATTGTAGCCAAACTCTTTAATCATATCCTTCTTAGTCACTCCCATATCCTGTACGATCGATGTCACATCATCTAACTCGCTGATAATAGAAGCAGTGAAAAAAACCCACCAATGGGGAGATGGAACAACGCAAAGACGTCATCCAAAGTAACCATCATCTCTCCAAATGGAAGATGTCTCAGAGTACCACCGCTCAACCAAAACAGGGAGGAGGGGAACATCTAGCATGATCAGCGAGCAGCCGGTCATGTCGAGGAGAACAAAATCCTGAACAATAGCCCTAAGCCGCTTGGGCATCTCAGTTTATGGCCATTCCTTCAACTTGGCCCTGTGGGATGTCACCTTCAGCGAGGCACGATCCTGTAACAAATAAAATTTAAAAATTCAACGAATTTTCAATAATAAATCATAAATAAGATAAACTTCAACATAATATATATTTATATATATACCTCTCCCTGTAAAAAACAGTAAGCAACATGGTCGGAATAGTATGTGAGCATAGACCCATCACTCGGTCCTCCTGGGAAGGCTCCATTGGTGCCAAACAGATACCTCTGTAAAAGCATGGGTTGTAGCATTTGTATCAGTCGGAGTCTCCTCGTGACTAGGCACCTCCTCCACGGGTACCGCAACATCAGCATGCACCTCAACATCAGCAGGAGACACGTCAATAGTCTCAGGAGGCACCTTAACAGTCCTAGGAGCGGGCACCTCGACAGCAATAAGCACCTCTAACACAATAGGTACCTCGTCAGTAAGAACCTCAGTACCAACTCAGCGTTTAGGTGCATAAAACCAGCACTGTGCCTGCTCAGCCATCTGTTTCCGGTGTGAACCGGTCGGAGTAACTCGTCTAGCCCGAAGTTGCGATGCCTTTGTCTGCTCAGCTCTGGCCTAGGTGGCAGCTCTGTCAGTCCTCATGCCTATAGTGGTCTCATCTTTCTCCAAGGCCCTCACTAAAAAAAGAGAAAAAACAAAATTTTTAGATAAAATAAAAAATGATAACTACTAGAAAATTTCAAAAAAAAATTGGACATTCCGGATATTTCAAAATATCCGATAGATATTTACGGAAATTTTGAAAATTTACGGTGAAACATACCGAAAAAGTCTAAATTTTTTAATGAAGTATATCGAAAAAGTCCAAAATTTCCGATGAAAAACTTAATTTTACAATAAAATCAATAGAATTTCTGATCACCCAGAAAATTTCCGATATCGCCAGAAGAATTTCAGATGTCTCAGAATTTTTTTCAAAATTTGTAATATATTAAAGAAGTTTTTGAAAAGGAGAAAAATTCATCAAAACTACCAAGTCTTTTTGTCATAAATTAGAGATAATACGTATAAAGTAGGGGTCACGTGTTAAAACCTCTAAAGATAAAGATAACATATTTTTTTTTTCTTTTTATTACACAAAAAAAATATTAATATCATTATTTATTTTGTTTCTGGAAAGTAGCTACGTAAAGCACACAGAAAAAAAAATATTCACGTTTTTTTTTTTGCGTATAAAAAGGTAAAGAAGCGTTGCTGGTGACAGTAGCGTTGAAGGAGAAGAGATTGCAAGAACATACATCGTCTTTCATCGCACTTCTCGATCGCCATAGTAATCTCTCGCTTTTTCTCGCCGCTTTCTTTTCCTATAAAATCTCATATAATTTTCATTTACACTTCTTCTTAATAACTTTCACCTTGCATTATTATACCAGATCCACAGTGCAACTAATCACGATATATATATTTTTTCATTTCAAGTTTTTTTTTCTCTTATTTAATTTTGAGCCGAAAATGGAGATCTGAGATATCATCATGAATTCGTATCTACCACCATTTATCTCCCAGATTTCGTCATTATTCTAAGTTGCACCGTTAGGTCAAGAAAAAATAAGAATGACTATAGTTAGGTTTTCAATTAAATTAGTATCATTAATCATATTGCTCCTTTTGATAACAATAAATTTAATTTTACCTATTGTTGTTGTTGTTATTGATTGAACTGAGTAATTAAATTTGTTACAGGAAGATGATTCACCCGTGTGCGGCGTGCAAGCATCTCCGTCGAGCTTGCGACTCCAACTGCGATCTAGCTCCCTACTTCCCGGCGGATAGACCACATTGTTTCAGCGTGGTGCACGCGGTATTTGGAAAAAGCAATGTGTCAAAGCTGTTGCAAGAGCTAGACGTTACTCAACGTGAACAAGCTGTTGATTCATTGGTGTATGAAGCTGAGGCGCGTATGAGAGATCCCGTTTATGGCTGCGTGAGTTTTGTATCGATTCTTCAGCAGAGGTTGAATGAAGTTCAAGAGAAACTCAGGAATGTGAAGAATGAACTGGCTAAGTACTTTGATCATGATACTGTTGAATTTGTTATCAACAATCCTCATTATTTTGGATTCGAGCCTGACAATAAGGTTGGTGCGTCTCAGCAACGACCAATTGTGACCGCTGCTGAGCAGCATCGAAACTTGGAACATTTGAGACAAATGTTTCTTGGATCTGGTGGAGGATTCTCTATTGGTGATGGCGGTATGGGACATGATCATATGAATGTTCGTCATGATCATTTTGGTCCTTCTTCTGGTACTTTAGAAATGGGTGGCACTAGCACTAACGGTTATCAGATTCAGCAATCACCACATCAATAAGAATAGTGGAATACATATTGGTGGTGTCTTACATTCTACTTTTTTAATCTCAATATAATAGTGATCTAAGTTTATTTTCTTGAAGACATGATGAAAATGGTATTATTATATTTATGTTTTTTTTTTTACCAATATTATACTTGTAAGTTGATATTTGGAAAATATTTCATCGATTGGATCGAGAATCGAAAATAAATTTGGTTGGATCAATCTTTCAAAATTATTAGTGGATGAAAATTAGAGTAAAATTAAAAAAATCGGATTGAACCATCCAAAATTAATCGAACTAAAGAATCGGAATCAATTTTATAAAATCGTCCGGTTCAAAAAAATACATCAAATTGGCTATTTTTTAATTTTTTTTATAAAGTTTGATATGCCAATATAAAAAATTAACATACAATTTCCAATCACAAAAAACAATTCAGTGTTTTTTTACAACCATACAAACTTTTAAGTTTTGTCACTCCCTTATAATTTTTCTTTCAACTACACCCCATCATCATCACACTGTATCTTTCAAACATAGTCACAATGTCCAACTCAATATTCATCGTCATTCAAGTCAAATATTGTTTAATGTTGTCAATTATGACTTGTTTGTCGCAATTCAACTCAAATTTGTTTTTTTGTTATATTTAATTAAATATATTGGATTATTTATTTTTGGTATTCTATCTTATTTAATTTTAGTTTAATTTGAAATTTATTTTAGTTATTCTGTTCTGATATTGATTTTAATTTTGGTTTGAATTAGTGTAACTTATTTTATTGTAATTTTTTAATTTGTTCAAATTAGTCTTAAACAAATTTTTGAAATGAAGTGTACAACTATGTTGTGTTATTATATGTACTATCGATATTGTTGTATTGAGTTTATAATGGATTTTTAAAATATTTATTCTATTAAGTCGTGAACATATAATTATGTATGACATATTTGTGAAATTTGGTTTCATGTTATTAGTTTATTTAATAAACGGTTCGACCATAGGTTTAACTGGTTGAACCAATTGAACCTTAAATCAGAAGTTTCACCGGTTCGATTTTCGATCCGGTTTTTAAAACATTGGTTTCTAGATTGTAATATCTATTGGTTTTCATAGTTGTAATTATGGGTATGTTTGTTTTAAATTAAAAGACTAAATGTAATTTTGGTCCCCTATTATAGTATTCTTAATTTTGTATACCCCTTTAAAAAATCAATTTTTTGGTCTCTAAAATTCACATGACTTGTTTTTTTTTTGTGGTCCTCTTCGACAAAATATCATTTTAATGACGTGGCACACACTGTTTAGTGCCACCTATAACTTTTGTTGTCATGTCATTTAATTTTGCTTATTTTTTTGAGTAATATTTTTTAATAATTAAAACATTTAAATTTATTTATTTATTCAACTTAAATGATATAAACAGTTATATCATCTTCTTCTTCTCTCACATGTATGTCATCTTCCCCAAATTGCATCAGCCATAAACCCTAATCATCTTCATCTCCTCAATCGCGGTCAACAATGCCATCCATGTCTCAAAATTCAAGGTCAACTAACAGAAAGCTTGCTTGCTACAACATTTAGGATGCATGCAAATATGGATTGAAATCTCCATTGATGACCTCTTGGATCAAATCGAACCCAGGTCATCATTTTTATGGATGTGGAATGTTTAACAAACGATTTTGTTAACTTGTTTTCAGTTCAGTCGCTTGCTCAGGTTCCACCCATTCCTCAACTTCATCGTTTACTTCTTTTCCAGATCCAAGGTTATAAGAGATGTAACCATTTCAATTGGTTTGATGAAGAAATGTCACCAAGAGCCAAAGAGGTAATATCTGATCCGAACAACAAGTTTAGTGAAGCAAAAGTGAATTTAAATGTTGCCAAGATGAAGGAGGATGAAATGAAGAACAAGATGAAGTTTATGAAGAAGAAGATGAAGTTATGTGTGTCAATCACATTTGTCATGTTAATTGGTTTAGTGATGGGTATTGTATTGAAGATGAAGTAATGTTGGATGTAGTGTTATATAATGTTGATGAGTAGTGTTTGATAAAAATGTAACTTTGCATTAGCAGGAATGTTAACTTTGATTTAGCAGGAATGTAACTTTGATTTTGCAGTAATGATATCAAGTTTGATTTGTGCCATAATGTTATCAAAGTTTGATTTTTTTTTCTATTATGTTATTAAAGTTTGAGTTGTACACAATGTTTATCAGTAATGCTATCAAGTTTGAGTTGTGTCATAATGTTGTCAAAAGTTTTATCAGTAAGATCATGAGTAATGTTTGCCATAGTGTTATCAAAATTTGATAAGTAAGATTTGTACATAATGTTTACAAGTAATGTTATCAGCGCTTAATCACACTGCTTTTTTGCCCTTCAGTAATATCAATCTCACTTTTAGAGGAACCTTCACTTACAACATAGTCAGCATATGTAGTACCTTCCTTATCAATGTTAACTTCAACATCAACCTTATCATTCTTAGCTTCAACAAAATGGTCATTGTCACCTTCAGCATCAACCTCCTTATCATTCCCAGCTTCAACAGTACCCTCCTTCTCACTATTACCTTCATCATCAACCTCCTTATCATTATCAACATCAACATTGTTATCCTTCTCAATGTTAACTTCAACAACATTATCATCAACATCAAACCCATTAATTGTCTCAACCTCATCTGTTACATCAGGATTATTTACTCCATGCTCCACATACATATCAGCCAAGTCAAATTCACAAAGATATTCAATGAGTTTCAACACATCAGCATCATTGCTTAAGGGCCTAAGTCCTCTACTAAAGCTAAACCTAGGGTTCCAGTACCAAAGACTTTTCATGTTAAAATACCCCTCACTTTGAATCAGAGCCTCCAAATCCATATACGATATATAGTCAACATCAATCTTCCAGCTTATTTTGGTTACAATCCCACCCACATACCATTTAACAGGTGAGTGAACAAGGTCACCCTTGTGATGTAATCTAATCCTAATTTTGTGAACCTTTGTTGGCCTGTAACAAAAATTAGGGACCAAATTTTAGGGTTTATGCCTATGGACCACTTTTAGGGTTTTCTATGTATCTAAAATAGGAAACAAGAAATAAACATACCTGACACAAAACTTAACTTGTTCATCTCTTTTCCATGAATTTCGTCTATTGTCCATGATTGCAAAATCGTCGCTACAAACAAATCGAAGAACAACAATACTTAGGGCAATTGAAAAATGAAACAGACAAACGAAACAATAAATCGAAGCGTGTTCTTCGTTTACCTCTAAGAAGAAGAACAAGATGTGTTTTATGGAGCACCGAACAACAATGGATGAGAGTTAGGGTAACTGTGAGAAGAAAAAGAAGAAAGTAAATGTTTGTATCATTTAAGCTGAATAAATAATTTAATTTAATGTTTTTCAATTATTAAAAGTATTTCTCATAAAAAATAAGTGAAATTAAATGACATGGCAAAAAAATGATAGGTGGTAATAAACAGTTTAAGCCACGTCACTAAGATGTTATTTTGTCAAAGAGGACCACAAAAAAAAAAAAGTCATGTGAACTTTAAGGGACCAAAAAGTTGATTTTTTTAAAAGAGGTGGAGAAAGTTAAGAATACTTAAATAGGGGGACCAAAAATACATTCAAGCCAAATTAAAAAAAAGTAATTTTTTTTTTTAAATTCTAAAAATAATTTTTATAACTAATTATAAAAGAGTGAAAGTTAAATTCATTTTTTTTATAAATTTAAATATTAGTTTTGACATATAAATACTATGTATTATTTAAAATTAAAACATAGTCAAAATTAAGTAATTTTTAAAATTATTTTTATTTATAAAAAGAATTTCGAATAATTTCCAATTTAAGTGATTTTTAAAATTTTGATACTAAAAAATTTATAGAAAAAACTACTTAAAACAATATTCTATGAAAAATTATTTAAACCAATTTTTTTAGTTGAATTTTATTAAAATATTATATAAATAATTTTTTAAAAATAAAATAAAAGTCCTATAATTATTTGTTAGGTAAAATTACACA